CCCCCCCCCCCCCCCCCCCGGATATTAAACCAGATTCTATTAAAAAAAAAATTATACTGATAGGAATTATTTCAATTAACTCTTTGCATAGTTGAGAGGAAGGTTTGTCTTAAAAGCTTGAGGGTGCTATTTTTTTAAGACACTTCAGTAAAATCTTCCCCCTTGTGACAGAGGTTTATAGGATGGCTTCGGATCTGTATCGTTTTTCCTGTGTTTTCAGAGGGTTATTTTGAACTTAGAGAATTCTTTTAAAAGAATTAAGACATTACTGATGTGCTGGGCGCTTTCATGACTTCTGAAGAATGGAAAAATAGATTCCTCATGAGAGAACGACCCTGATCTCTTGTTCCACAGTTTCTGTGGTAATGAGCGGCGATGCTCAGCGCAGGCTTCCCCAGCTCCCACAGAACTGCTCTGAAGCTTTCCAGAGATTTAAGAACAATTGGGCCCCAAGTGCAGTAACAGACCCCAACACAGGTGCTGTCACAAATACTTGTTACCTGAATAAATATTTCTCCCGTTGAAGAAGCTACTTCACAAAGCAACGCTTGTGAAGACTGAAGAGAACACGAACTACTATTTTTAATCTAAAAACTAAAAGAGACTTTATTTAATGAATTTTATCTTTAGAGGAATTTTTCAATTAATTCATCTTCAGTTAGAAAAAGATGTGCCGCTCCTAACGTCAGATCTGATCGTCATTCTGTTAAAAACAGCGTAATTGTGGTGCTTCCATCAGGCATGTTTCTAGGAAGCAGCATTTGTGTAGTCTTGTCCCAGTTAAGCAGTGCTCCTCCTGTTCCTTGGCTGAAATAGATTTCCTTCTGAGTCGTGGCTGAGCGGAATATATAGTGCCATGAAGCATGGCAGCTGATAATTCATGTTGCTACTCTGGGAAAATCTTTTAAACTTATAATATCAAAACTTCAAGCCAAATGACATATGCAAGTCTTGACCTAGCTTCCATGATCAGTCAGTGGAGATACGGATACCGCTCTGTTCGACTACATAAATAACAGACTTCTCCTCTCTGCTCCCAGCTATCACAATCCATCGGCATAGGTACAGTGTCAGGGGAAATACTGGGGAATGTGAAGTCATCTAAGTCACAGGCTTTTTTTTTTTCTGTGGGGACGTGGCTCTGTTCGCTTAGCTTTCTGCTGTGATACGGCAATAAGTCAGTGATACTCGGATCCGTGCAGTAATGGTCCAGCACTGTCTCCAAAGGGTAGTAACGCATGATGAAGCACGGTGTTACAGGATATGCGAGTATTAACATATTTGTAGAGAACAGAAACAAGCCTGATCAGACTGGAATGTCTTGATGATTTTTGGTAAAATCTGGATGAGATAGGTGCGTGGAACCAGTGGATTAAGCGGTAATTGGTGGTGTTTTTTGCTGCAGATTATGTTCCAGGCATATGGGGATAAACAGGGGCCCTTCATGGGATGCTGATCAATACCCCGTATGTGACCAAAGACCTGCTGCAGTCCAAGAGATTCCAGGCACAGTCTTTAGGAACATCCTATGTCTATGACATTCCCGAGATGTTTCGGCAGGTAAGTGTTCTTAAGGCCCGGTGGGTTGTTCTAAACTTCTGTACCTGCAAAGCACTTCTATCAGTTGCCATCCATGCTTGTCAGGGAAATGAGTGGCCTGGAGTGGCTAAAAACGGTCCCCCAGGGTCTGTACAGCTACGGATTGAGTCTGCTTTGAAAGAAATTAGGACTCGAGACACTGCTGCTGTAGTTCCATTAATAAGTCAAACGGTAAAAGCTGAAATGTAAAAACCACCTTCTGTTTGTTGTTTACGTTTCTTTGTTTTCCCGCCCTGCTGTCTGCCTTCCTAGAGGGTTAGACGGTTCAGGGGTGATAGTTCCTAGGATGGGACTTGTACATCATTGAACGTGTTAATGGGTTGCAGAATTTCTTATGGGTCTGATTTGCTGGATTCTGTCCCGAATCGCATAATTCGAAATACACCACTTCGGGTGAAACTCTGTTGCATGGTTTAAATTCCAGAGTGAGTGATACCCGCTGAATATTGTCAGTCAGACTGGGGGGAGGGATGTTTCAGTGTTCGTCTTGAATATTAAGTCACTGTGGTTTGAATAAAAATATTTGCAGATTACGTTCTTAACAAGAATTTATCTTTTCATCATCTAGTCTTTGATTAAACTCTGGGATTCTATGAATGAACATGCATTCCTGCCCACGCCGCCGCTGCCTTCCGACATACTAACGTACACTGAATTGGTGCTGGATGATCAGGGCCAGCTCGTGCACATGAACAGGCTGCCAGGAGGAAATGAGGCAAGTTGCACTTTCTTTAATGCTACTTTTCTTTCCATGTCCTGCAGTACATTGTGTTTTGGACTAGATTTGACAATTGTAATGAAAATTTACCAGCCAGGCAAAAAATCTATTCATTCAGTCTTTCACAGATGAAATCTCTTACCTGAAAATGAGATTTTTGTTTCATTAAAAATTAATACCTTCCATACAACGGGTATTTTAACCTCCATAGTAAATGATGGTTCCATTTCAAACCTCTGCCTATGCTGTTTTTCCTTCATAATTAAAAAGTGCTCATTCAGCTATTCCAGGTAACTGGGGTTTGTATTTGTGCAAAATATGTTTTACAAGACTAAATAGAAATGTTTTCATTTGCTTAAAAAAACGAAAAACCCATTTTATGCTTTCCATTTAAATACTCACCATGCAGCGTTTGTGTAGCACACTGGCAAGGTGTGTGCAACATCCCCCTCTAGTGAATGATTTACTTGTGACTAACAACCTGCTAATGCTGTCGGGGCAGTAGAGTTACTCCTTCGGCACAAGCAGGAGGAGGCTGGACTGCTGTGGTGGGCTTTTGCTGGTAGGTTATTACATTAGCGAGCCAAAGATTGCAGCATTGCAGTGGCTGAGGAATAAAGCTAACTAGTAGAAGATACGTGTGGGTTGTTTTTTGTTTTTTATTTTTTGCCTAGGCTAGGTGGCATTCAGTATGTGAATATTCCTACAGTAATTTCAATTTGAACGGTTCTAAGTGGTGGTATCTGTTATTTTTGCTTGGCGTCATTGAACTGATACTGTCCTTTTACTAGATGTGTAACTTAAGGTTTGCAAAAGCTCTGTTCGTAACCGTCAAGCACAGCGGTGAGAGGAAATAGGGGTTTTCATCACTATTGACTGCGTGTATCCTGTCAGGGGAAGGTTTTGAATACGATGTTTTCAAAATGAACCTAATCAGTAAATGGTGACTGTGGGAGCACTACGTCCTTGTCTTTTGCTGGCCTATAGGAGAAATGTTTTAACTAGTATAATTAAACCCGAAATGAGCTATTCCCCACATTCTTAGTGAAAGCTGGGGCTGTGGTGGCTTATGCCATCATCTTTCTCTCTTTCTCTGCTCTCGCTCAGCGTTTGAGTGCATGGTGGCTGGGGAAACAGCAAAGTCCCCGAGGGACGTAGCTCTGTTCTTGCTGAAATTACAAGCACAGAGCTGCCTGGGCATGAACATGTAGTGTTTACTCTGCCAGTATGAATACAAATAGTCTTATTATAAGAGATTCTGTACCCAAAGACCACCAAAAAAAAATTAGGAGTTTTTTTTTAACCCTTGGTAGACTTAGTTGTGCTCAATCTGCAAAGAAATGACATGGCTGTTGTGGTACTCAGTGTGGTTATCCAAGGCATGGGTTCAGGCCCTGCCTCTGTGGCTGTTACACCGAGGGGCTGAGTCACTGCAAAGTGAGATAAACAAAACAAGGGGAAAACATGATGTTCCCCCCCACATTTTTCAGTCTGTCTGCTGAATATTGCTTCTTGTGGAGGGATATGACGGACTCTAACCCGCCCTTTAAGGACTTCCCAGAAGTGAGGTGCAGAGGTGAAGGCCCAGCCCAGGGTTTGGGGTGTGGGGGAGCCCTGGGAGCGGTCTGAGCTGCCCCGGAGAGGCGTGTGGCTCAGGGCTGGGAGTGCTCAACCCTCTGCGCGGCCGGCCGAGCCGCCGTGGGACCGAACGAGGTCTGAGGCTGTGGCATTGAATCCCCTCGCACACAATAGCCCATTCACAGGTGGGAGCGGGCAATCTGGGGAAGAGGTTCCAGCAGCAGTCTGAAGGACAGGTGACATTCAGGAGGTGACGAGCTGCCGAACAGATTCATTCCTCCGTGCTGCACTTCCTTTATCAGGATGAGCTGACTTTAGGCTTTCATGGTTTAATTCCGTTCAGCTGAGGAAACAAATTTCCACAAACGTGTGCTCAAGTTTCCCTTTCCAAAGAAGATGGCTGCAGGGGTGGAGAAGGAAGAGACAGGTTGCTAGATAAATTCAGAGCATAAGCCTTTTCTTTGTTAAGGCTGTAAGTGGATCTATTCTGCTTTTTTTTGAGAATCAGTCTGCATAGCATCTGGGCAGACAAATACAGCATGTTATCTGCCGGGAAGCAGAGATCCTTGAGGTAGTCCGTCTATGTGGCAGTAGCTGGTAGCATTGCATAGCAAGAGGAGACGTGCCACAAGGAGCAGGAGAAAATATTAATAGGTTCTGCACTTCTCCCACAGCATAGAATGGTGAACCATTCTCAAAACGTGGCACACTTCCTCGGCACGCAAAACTTGCCTGAGTTCACTGAGGAAGAGTTTTGTCCTCGGATAGATGTATTTGACTCAAACTGCCAGAAAGCCCACATACACTGAAAATTGTGTTACAGGGGAGGTGATCCCTAAAGAAATGAATAGAGCAGGGAAGTGGAGGTGCCCGAGCTTTGCAGTGGCTTGCTTGGTAGCTTTAGTCAGAGCTTTCACTGCTTCAGTCTGTTCGTATCCTAGTAAGATGGGACTGCTTTGGGGTGTTGTGAGGATAGTTCAGCCAAATATGTTTAAAGAGTCTTTGAATTTCAACTTGCTAAGTGCGTGCTGGATAGTACGTTAGACAGCGTTCCCCCAGTTTTGGTTAGCGAGCCTTGATGGTCAGTGCCAGTGGGGTCTGCGCCCCAGCGATCCGGAGGCATGAGCTCTTTCCAGTTCAGACCCCAAGGAGCGGTGGGAGTGCTTGGTAGGAGCGTTCACTGGGAAGAAAGGAAAAGAAAAATTAAGAAAAAAAAAAAGAATCACATTTACTTGGAAAGTTGCTGATTTTCCGAATCCAGAGTCTTTTGAGAGCTTGTACATCACGTGATTGTTATTAAAGAGGAAATTTCTGTTGGAAAGTTCGGACTGTGGTAGATATACCTGCTGTTTAGTGCATTTAGGCTCCTATTCCTCTTTCACTTGTTTTAGATCAGAGACTCAGCCACAGCTGCTCCCCCATTGCAAGTGAGTGCCTTACCGTGGTGGTGCCGGCTGTTCCGAGGCAGGGCTTGTCTTCCCTGTTGGAGCTGTGCTACACAGGATGAACAATTACATTTTCTCTATGTGAAAAGGGGTCATGACACTCTTCCTCTTAAAGCATTCAGCTGAGCTGAGTGCCCTAATTGTTTTAGCTAGCAGGCGAAATTGAGAAACCAGCATAAAATCCAGGAGATTTGTGGTCAGTGTATTCAGATGGATGTCAGCACCCGGAGTTGCAATCCCTGCCGTGATACAGGGCAGAGCAGGAGCTCGAAGCTGAGTTTCTTCTCTCCTCTCAGAATTTATGTTCTGGGCTAACCCGGTGATGTTTTCAGGAAAATCTGTGAAATGGGAATTCTCAAGAACTTTCACAATACAAGAGATTTTTCTCTGCTTAGCTTGCGACCACTTCATGTAGCCCACCACCTCATTTGGCAGTAATTATCTCTTTGCTCATAGTCTCAACAAAGAAGCCAAGGACTTAATGGACCATGAAAATACAACTTGCTATTTATTCCTAGACAGTGCTCACTCCTTCTGAGCTGAGGATCCCGTGTCTCGGCCATGCGGGGGAGCTTGCAGTGCTGCTGGCCCTGCTGCCTGCTCTTGTGGCACAGAAGATACCACTAGTGCAGGGCCTTTTTCCAACTTCTTGTCTGCTCAGTGCAGCCAGAGTTACTCCTGAAGAGCATCTGCTGTTGCTTTGGACTGCAGACAGAATCCTGGATGTTGCCTGGAGCTTTCTGCTAGACGGTTTCTGTTCTGGATCCTTCTTGTTAAGCTTGTGAACTGTGTCCTGGTCTCTAGTTACTCTTTTTTTTCGTTTGTTTGTTTTCAGGGTGGTTTTTTTTGTGTGTGTGTGAGTGTCCTCTGTTGTCTGGCTGCTTTGACACCTCTGCTCACATGTGAGCCTGTTCTGATAAGCTCCATCTGCTACCGTTGGATTTCAGTAAGCCAACACCCTTGACAAGATTGAATGTGCCACACTAAAAAGTTGAGAACAGTTTGTAAATAATTCTCAGAGCCAGCAGTTGTAGAAGGGAGCTGAGGAAGACAGTATTTTATCAGCAGAATCAAACACCAGTCGATAGCTTCCTTCTAATGCTCCTGAGTAAAGACTGAATAGACTTTGGGACAAATGGGATGTAATTTATGGTACAACTGTGAGCATACCAAGAACTAAGCACCAGAGGTGGATGTTCAGCCTGACTTTTAAGACAGACACGGACCACTGAAATGCAGAGTTCACATAGGTGGGAGGAAAAAAATCCACTTGTTTGTAATCTTACGCATTTTACTCTAAAATGTCTTTAAGAAGAATATTTTAAGTTCATACCATGGCCTGGATGCTTATCAAGATTATAACTTGAGACTTCTAACGTTTTTGGTAATTTAATTTTTTTGTAAATGAGTGGAAGCCTTTTTATTTTTTTAGTGGCACAATCTTTGGTGTCTTTAGCTAAGATCTTCGCTGGGTGTGTGGGGTAGAGGTGTGTGATTGGGACTTTCTACGCTACTACAGGGAGGGATGGGTTTGAGAGGATGCAGCACCTCACCCCGTTTGACAGGGTAAGAGGAGCTGACGCCTTTTCCCGGGCACCTCGCTGCTGTCCTGCCGGTCACCTGAGCCTCTGAGGGTGCTCTCTAGTTATGTGGCTGTGCTAAGATGGGCAAATCTCTGAAAGGGTCAGGAATTGTGTGAACGCAGACAAATGAACAGGGCTGGACTGTAGGAGTGTGTGGCAGCTTGTGCAGTATTTTAAAACGTGTTGGTTGCAGTTGCTGTGCTGAAGACACAACCTTTAATGTAGTGACACCCTCTTCAAATGCCCCTTGAAGATGGCTTTGTTCCGAAGATTAACATATTAGCTGGAATCTCCGTGTGAAAAGGTAATTCCCTCCGCCAGTTGGAGAACTCAATAAATTACTTGTCATTCTTGAGCTGGGCATTCTGATGTTTTTCTATAGCACTTTATA